TGAAAACCCATTTTATTTCGCATCATTGAGTCCATCTCATCCCTCATGGCATCAATCCACTCTTTATTGTTTGGTGAATTGATAGCTTCCTTAAAGGAATTGGGTTCCTCAAGTTTTAAAGGAATGCATAGGAAAATTTCTCCTTCAATTTAGAAATATCATCGAGAAATTTTTCCATGTTCACTCTTTCATATTCTAGGACCTTTATCACCTTCCTAACTAGATGATAAATCTCTCCCATTGTCCCTAGGCATGGGATTTGGAATTTAAAGACTAACCTCATGTTTCAAGCTCGAATCTTGAGGACTAACCATATTTTTCGGTGGATTATGATTTATAGACAAGTTTCCACCATCTAGAATAGTAGGATCACTCCCACTATCTCTTTTATTTAGTAGAATATCACTATCTTTGGTGACTTGGTAGGTTCTCAATGCCTTTCTCTTAATAATAGATAGTTGCATGTCCTCCTGTAACTCATATAGTTTGAGATTCCCATTTATATCATCAATATTTGGGAACTCATCCTTAAGGAAATCAACATTGCAGAAGTCAATTTCGATCATGCCACCATTTGGGTATTCTTCAAACATTATATATCCTTTTAAATGTTCGGGATATATGATAAACACTATCTTAGTTACTCTTGGACTTAGTTTTTCGTGTTTGTGGGTTGGGTTATGCACATAGTCTGCCGACCTCCAAGGATGTAAATGATTCAAAATGGACTTATTGTCATTTCATAACTCATATGGAATGATGGGTACACTTTTATTTGGTATACGGTTAAGGATGTAGATTACCGTATCAACACATCTCCCTAAAAGTATTAGACAGGTTGGCATGTGCCATCATCGATCTAACCATGTCTAGTAATGTACGATTTCTTCGCTCTACAACACCATTTTGTTGCGGAGTATGGAGAATTGTAAGTTGCCTACGTATATCTTTTTTTTCAAAATATTCTTTCAACATATCAGAAAGGTATTCACGACCACGATTGGTTCGAAAAGTCTTTACTCTTCAATCCATTTGATTTTTCACTTCCGTTATAAAATGTTTAAACATATCTAGCACTTCATAGCAGTGAGAAATTAGATACACATATGCATATCGTGAATAATCATCTATAAAAATAAGAAAGTATATGGCACCAGACGTGCTTTGATATTTAAAGGCTCGCAAATATCAGAATAGGTTAATTCTAAGGGACTTGACACCCTTGAAGCCTTACCAAAAAGCTTCTTACTCGTTTTACTGGCTAAACATGACTCGCATTTAGGCAATTTGACCTTAGTAAATCGGTCCAAAAGACCTTTTTTAGCCATTCTACTCATTTGGTCTTTGCCAATATAATCAAGTCTAACATGTCATTTAACAAATTCAGAATCACAATTAAAGTGAGAAACATAAGCAAACATAGAATTATTATATATATTATCATCCAAGTCAAGAACAAAGAAATTATTTCTTAAAGACCCATGACCAAATACATCACCATAATATAAAATGTCTAAAGATCCAATCTTAATAAGAAAACAACTAAAAGTAATCAACATTGCACCCCGGGTGCATAGTATCATGAAGGAGTAAAGTATTTCCTCTATGTAGCTTGAGCTTATATGTTCCGATTCCAAGGATATCCTCTTCGTTGTCGTTGCCCAATACAATAGTTTGCGAACCCACCAGGACACAATAGTAGTCAACGAATCTAGCTCGATCTTGAACTACATGTTTGCTTGCTCCCGTGTCTACAATGTAATTAGGAAAAGAATTAGCAACTAATGTATGAGAACAAATAAATAAATCAAGAGGAAAAATAGAGAAAGGTACTTTCTTCAGCTCGGAATAATCACGAGCAAATTGACTCTTGTGCCACAGTTATAGCACTTCATACGCACTACATTTTTCTCTCTATGGCCCTTAGCCTTATGTTGTTTGGCCACACCACCTATAGGTCCATTAGCTTAAAAGGTGCACCAACCTTTCTTAAATTGTTTGGCACGATTAGGCTTGTTTCCCTTGGGTCTAATCCCATGGGCAACAAGTGCTACATTGGAAGGATTAAACATTTTTTAACGCTCAACCTCCATCTCAATGTGCCTAGCAATTTCAGAGAAAATATTAATGTGTTCACTATGAACCATCAGGTGTTTAAAATTTTTTCAACATTCAGGTTCATCTGGAAGTGAACGAATCACATTCAGAACTTGCTCCTGATCTCTTATGTCATATCCTCCAGCCTTAAGGTCACAAACCATAGCATTCATGACACGTAAGTGTTTAGCTATACTGTATTTTGGATCCATTTCATATTTCATCTACTTTAAATCAAGGCACGGAACTTGTAGCGGATGTCTGCCCATAAGTGACTTAAGCTTGTCCCACATGTCTTAGCTATGGATTACTCTCAACTCTCCAATGAGATCGTTATTCATGTAATACAACATAGTATAGCGCGCAAAACAATCCTTTTTGGACTATTCTTGGTATGCAACCAGATCTTCATTATACCGACCATTACCGATATTTTTTGGCTCAAGTACAATAGTGGTCAAGATTTCTAAAACCTCGTGCTTATTAAGAAGATACTGAATCTTTCTATGTTATATATCATAATTTGTCCCATCCAACTTCTCGTTGGTAGATAAATTAGTAATAATATTTTTGGTTGCTATTTTTACAAGTATATAAAAAAAATAGACATTAAACATAATTTTTCATAATTAAATTATCAAAATTTTATAGTTTATATCACATGCTCGAAAAGTTTACTAATCTTATAATTATTACATATGATACAAATTAGAAATATTATAAATTAATTATTATAACAAAAAAAATTAAATGGAACATATTCATGTAACTCTTTAATTTTGCCAAACTTAATTAACATAAAAAAATATCACATAAATATAAGTAGTTATTTTAATTTTAACAAAATATGCATAACTAACTAATGTATATAAACTAATTAATATACATTAGTACAGTAATCATAAAACAACATAACAAAATACTAATATGCCATCTAAATAATAAAATAATGTACATATACATAATATTATTAAAATACACATACTCACAACCAATGAAATGCTTAACTACATAAATGTTTATATATATTTTATAACTCAATTGATTCGAGTATTTATTTAAAAAAACGGAATTGATGAAATCATTATTATCACGATGAAAGAGAAAAGAAGAAAAAATTATAATAAAATGAAGAAAAAAACTTATTCTTTTTCTTTCTAGGAAACAGCCATATGCATATATATATATATATATATCTCTCTCTCTCTCTTTCTTTCTCTCCCATTTTTTTCTTCTTCTTTCACGCGCAGACAGTATTCTTTTTTTGTTTCTTCTAGCATACTGTGCATCACCCTCCTAATTTTTTTGTAGTTTTATATATATATACACACACATATATCTTCAACATTTTTCTTTCTCTCCTAATTTTTTTGCTTCCTTCACGCATACACTGCACGCAGACAGTGTTTTTTTTTCACACAGCACACAGTGCATTATCTTCTTCCTTTTTTTTTTCAAGCACACAGAGTGCAACTCCTCTCTCTGTTTTTTTAGTTTTCACCCATGGCTAAAACTCTAACTTTTTTTTTCTTTTTAAACATCTCTATGGGAAAGACCAGAATACCCTGTTTTTATTATTAGCAACCATAATCACGTAAAGGCTTACATATATTCAGTCATCTCAACATTTACATTTAGAAAGAAAATTAGAGCAAGATAAATGTGCCACTCATGGGTTGTTTTTGTTTTCAGATTCTTAAAAAACAAAAAAAAACATGTTTTCTAGATTCATTACATAAAAAAATTAACAAGCTTAATATAGATTGGAGCATAATTATTATAGGGACAGATGCAAGCAATAAAGTTCTGATACCACTGTTAGAAAATTTTATAACTACTCTTAATGCAAAAATAATAGGATAAGATGTTTATTTTTCTAACAACAGAGAATAACTGTTGATGTATTTTATTTTTTCTCTAATGCTACTAAAGTTTTGGGTAATTTTCACACCTAAAAACCTAAGTCTGCTTATAGTTTAATTTAATGTGAGAGAAAAAATTGTGATATAATTTTTTTATGAATGTTATCTGTTTTTTTAAGTGAACAAAAATAATTTTTATATTTTTTATATATTTATTAAAAGTTATATCTTTTTATAAAAAAAATTTCTCTCTTATAAACTTACGAATGGTCGTGTCTTTTTACAATAGATATTGTTAACGTTTTTAATTTTATATAACAATTCTAGGAGGAGAAAGTTTTTTATATTTTTATTTTTTAATTTTTTAAAAAATTTTTAAAAAAAATTAAAAAAATAATTATTTTTTATACGTTAAATATTATACCATATTTAATGTAAAAATTTATTCAATTAAAAATAACCATATATCTAACTCATTGGTACAAAATAAATCGAGTTATAATGTTAATCATATTTAATGAATAGAGATTACTATAAATATTTTTGAAAATAGAGGAATTAAAATAAAAAAAAAAATTAATTTAAACATTTAAAAAATAATATAAATATCAATTTAGTAGTTAAGACATTTATATAATTCTAACCGAATCTATCATATTTAAGTAGAAGTTTTGGTGGGATTGAAAATGATTTTATTATTAAAAGCCACAAGTTTTGGATTTTGTAATATTCGTCTCAAATATAATATAGGTATCTCTAATTTATGTTAATTAAAATTAATTTTAAGAGTATAACCTCTTATTAACATAATGAAAGCTCATATGCAAGAGAACCCAATTTGACATGTAATGGTATCAAAGCTCAACTATGCCTCCAAATATAAAGAAAAATCTTTTATGCATTAGAATGTATGTATGTACCAATTTAAATATTTAAAAATAATATAGAAATTAATTAAATATTTTAAAGTTAAATAATATATATATATATATATATATATATCATAGATGCTTGATTTTCTTATATGCTTTGGCCGTTCAAAAGGTTCCCCGCGCTTTCTCGGAAAACTTGTAGTTTTCTCTGGTTCCAAACAAGGAAGAGGAAGCGAGGGAAAATGGAACAATGGATTCCGCTCTTGGACATTTTTCTGAATAATCCGACACCGGAAACTGAAGCATCCCTCTGGTTACAGCAGTCTTTCAATTCCTCGTTATCAACCTCAACCACAACCACAGTCCCACTAACCACCACCTCTTTCATCTCATTGCTCACCAAATCCTGCAACCAAAATGTCCATTGCATAGCACATTCTTCTTCTTCTTCGTCACCGCGTTTGCCTCCGACCACAATCAGGTGAAATCCACATCGCTCTTATTATTTTGCTTTTTCGTGTTCCCTTCACTTTGACTCTTAGTCGTGGTTCCTCAACAGGTTGATTTTCCTACAGACTCTGCCCAGTATGGTCCAGTCCAGGATTTTGTCTTTTCTTGTTTTTGAGCGCAAGAGGTTTTGTTCTAAGGATTTGGCTTCTCTGGCTAGAGAAATATTGAATGGGGATCTAGATCTTGATTTCTGGGTGAAGAAGGCTGCGCGCAATCTGCTCGATGTAGTGTCTGAGAGATACGATGAATGGATTTCGGGTTTGAATTTGGATTCTGAAAAAGAGAGAGTTGTTAAGGAGTTTGAATCAATGCCGGCTTGGCTTAGCAACGTTGCTGATAGTAGCGATTTGCTTCTATCTTGGCTTCCTGTATCGGCCGATAAAATAAATTCAAGTACGTTCCATAGTGCTAGTGAGGATGACGAGGATTCAGCGAATCAAATTGCAGAGAGAACGGAAGAAGATACGAAGGAAGTTGTGCATGAAAACGAGACTAACTGTCCGATGGATGTTATTTTAGAGCCTGAAATTGTTGAAATGGCATCTAGTTTGAGAGATCGATTGTTGAGTTTTGAGTCTCATTCCAAAACTGCAATCTTGGCCAGTGAAATTCAACAACTTTGTTTAGACAGAGGAGGAGATTCTTTTGGGATTTTGGGTTTGATTAAACCTTGGAAAGCAGATGATGAGGTTGCCTCAGTTCTGATATCTCATCTTTCAATTGGAAATGAAGAGGAGCTTGGTTGGCCAAGCCAAGTTCTCTCATCAATTGTCCTTCCTAAGTTGTTGGTTCTTGAGGAACCAGCCTCTCGTGTTATGATGACTGCAACGATAGAGTATTGTAAACTCCACCAGAAGGCTGCGGAGTATGCGTTATTGTTTCCTTTGATACTGCGGAGGACAGGTATCAACAACCCTATTTGTGATGCAATCACACATGTTCTCAAAGAGTGCTTTCACCCGGCTCATGTGTCTGCCTTCTGCCAGAAGCTTCTGTCTGTAGGAGAAGATGAGAGGAAGTTTGTCTGTCTCCCTTCCCACAAGCATCTTATCTCTGATGAATTAGTGTGGACAGAATCGCTCTTTAGCCTTTTTCAGAATATCTTGAATCAGCATGTTCATTTGACTAAGGATTCTGTTGATCATGTTGTTCAACAGATTAGAGAATTGGCCGAAAGGTTTTCTAAATCTTTGAAATTTGGGAACTTTTTGTTATGTCTGGTCACTAAGTATGGCCCTTTGTTGAAATCTAATAAGCTTTTGTTGACTGAAGCAGTTGAACGCACTGATACTCTCGTTGCAAAATCTATATTATCAAAATTGGCTGCCTTGTAGCTGTTCTACAGAACGTCTTTCGGATGATTTTGTTGATCTTGAATTATTACTTCCTATGAACGTCCTTGCTTTTTCACCTGTCTGTGCTCCATCGGAAGGTAATGGAAAAAAAGGCCTTTCCAATTCATTCATGAGGTGGTCCTACTTTAGTTCAGGTTTGAAGGCCTTTAAGATATTTTATTTTCTTTGTAACTTTAGTTAGGAATGATACTTTCTTACATATATGTGTAAAACATCAATGAGAATTGGCCAATAGATACCATGTTATATGCAATCGACTAAATTATGCTTCTGTTACGTCTGTGATTGGAGATATTAGTAGAAGAGCAGACAGAACTGTTCAACAAAATTTCTCAAAGAAGGCTAGTTCTATAAAGAATTTAATAAAACTTATAAACAAGTTGACGCAAAACTCAAGTAGAAGACATTTGATGAGGTCTTCAAGTTGTGTTACATCATTTTGTATGTGGTTTATCATTAGTCAATATTGTCTAGTCTTTTATGATGAGGTCTTCCTAGTTCAATACAGAGGCAGAAAAAATTCCATATTTCTACTTGAATTATTCAAACGGTGGACTTCCATCTGTTTTATCGATAGATTCTCATGGAACCAATATATAAAAGAATCATCTTCTAAGTAGCTTGGTCTATTACAAATGCTAGCCCCGATTTTTGCTTCTGGTTCTCTCTATATGGGGAGCTCAGGTCTGAGACATATCGGTTTTACTGACTTTAGATCTACCAAAGAAAGAGTATCTTCTTCTATTTCATTTGTTTTTCCGATTTTATCCCAGACTATATGACAGAGTGCATTAAAAATGCAAACCTTTTAATGTTGTACAGGTTAAAGGGCTAATTCATTAATCAGTTGATGTAAATGGATCTAGTTGTGAAAGAAATTACAAAGTTTAGTCAAATCTGATGAATAAACTATTATGAATTTTCTTGATCGAATTATTGATTTAAGACTTTTCATTTTGACTGTCATTTTACTAGCAGATTATTTGTCTGATAGAACTCTAATGGTTCCATTATCAAAAATGGTTGAAACTACTAAGAAACAAATCTGAGGGGATGAAAGCATGTTGGTGATTTCTTGTTAAAATGAAGCATGTTCATGATCTCTTATTATATTAAAACTAATTTTTTGCTCGAAGTTTTTGCTTCTTGAGTGAGACAAAGATGCATTTTCGAATGAAATCATGAAAACAGAACTGGAAAAGCAAACCCATGGGTAATTTGTAAGTCATGTAGTAACCTTTAGGCCAAGAGGCCATTCTTTCCACTGGTTATTCTGTTCTTCATGAATTCCAGTCTAGGGCCCTTTTCAGAAAACTTTGTGGTTGCATATAGCTTTAGGTAATCTTGGAAAAGGAAATGATTGGGATTATAAAAATTTTGGAGCTCAAGAGAGGAACAGCATCACTGGCAGGATTGTAGAAAGTAGCAATGGAGAAAGCCATTACATGACGGAAACTACTCAAGATTTCCATTGGTCACAGGTATCGACAAACATGCTGTTGTTCTTTCATGGAGGGATCTTTACTCATTTTGCATCTCCTAGAAACTGCAGATCAGGGACTTGGTCATCTTGGATGAGGAGTATAATCCCACCACCAACAGTGTGTTCACAAGCTCTGGATCAGGACATTGAGGGTACTCACTGCAGCACTTTTGGATCCTGAGAATGCTTCCTTTATGCAATCCTTGTCAAGACCAAGACTTTCACATATGAGCTTGGAAAGAATCTCGGACAGCTTGATCAGTTGAGCAATATACTCATCCATTGTTTTGCTGCATTTATACGTCAGTTATGAGTCAATTATATACTAAATAAATCCTCCACTTATGTTTCATATATATCTCATTGACTCCCCAAAGATCCTCTGAAAGGTTTAAATTTTCATCTATGTTTAACGAGGGACGACACCGAAGAAGAAGCTGTTTTCCCAGTCTATATAAGAGGTACTTCTTTGACTCATAAAAGGTTTTGTTCAAATTTTGTTCATAGTGAGAGTTGACGAGTTGCTTCACCTTCTCCATTAACAGTTTGTCTATTCCATGATTCTGAACCTGCAGTTGTTTAGAAATGCATCATTTTTATAATTCAATATATGTAAATTAAACAAACAAACAAGCCTGGTCAAGCAGGGCCATTTGGGAAGAGTATTTATCATAGTGTCATTGAAGGAAAAACCAATTTACCTTGGGAAGAGTAGTAAGTATATATTAGAAAATGATCCATGTTGACTTCACATAGGCATAGGATGTTCTTTGTGAACCATATATATATATATATACAAAGATATTTTTTTACACTTTTGGTTCATATACTTTCAAATTTTTTTTGATTTAGTCTCTAATCATGCACACCAACGTCATTAGTGAATTTTTCATATGAACTCAGGTTCCACATGTGTTATATTTTTATTAGAGCATTATGCATGTTAGATGCCATGTTTACAAAATAATTTGACTTTCAATTAATTTTATTAAAAAATTAAAAAAATTTAAAAAAAAAAACATAAAATTAAAAAGAAAAAGTTTCCTCCTCACTTGATTAATATTAGCCTTTAGTTTCTTTTAATTTTAATTAATAAATTTAATTGATTTATTTATAAAAAAAAATAGTAATAAATCACTATAACAAAAATAAAAAATTTCTAGTAGGTCGAGTTTCGTAATATCTCAAATTTGGTATAGACTGGGGTTGACTTTTGCTTCCACAAACACTGCTGCTCCTCTTGTGCAGTTCACAATCAACATTCCTTTCGAGTGATTGTAGGTCAGCCAACTAGTGACTAGGTAGTAGTAAACTAAAATTTTTCTCATAGTGTTTGTAATCACTTCTTTGGCGTCCTTCTCTCTCCTCCGGCTTAAAGTAATAGATTGTGCACTATAATCATGAGATCTAACAAGTCGACTCGCTTTGATCTCATGGAAGCTTGCAGATGATGGTGGAAGGGAGAAAGGAGAAATTTTATTTTCTTTATTTATGTGTTTTTAATTTTTAATATTTTTGTTATATTAAAATAATTAAAATTAAATTATTTTTTACATACTAAACATTATGAAAATTTACTTGACTAAAATTACTATATATTCAATTTAATATTAATGGTGTTAGTGTGTTTCAACAATGATAAATTAAATTAGAAATATATTTTACAAGTACAAAAACTAAGAATAGAAAATAATAGTACATAAATTATTTTATATTTTTAAAAAAAAAAAATTAGTACAGAAAGTAATTACTTTGAAATAATACATAAAATTACTATTTTTTTGCAAGAAACTTATATACATATATATATATATATATACGATTGTCCAGTTTAAAGGAATTAATATTGGAAACTACATCGCTTACGTTTATATATATTTATAGAGGTAAGTGAGAGAATTTTAGTAAACTAATATTCGTACTGAATAATCTGAGACACAATTGGGCTGAATCAAGGCCCATATCTTCTTGTTATATTTTGTTGTAGAGGGATCATCATTCACTGACCTCAATTTCCATCTCTGGAAATTTGTTAATTATAATTATATTAACATATTAAAGACTTACGTATAATTTATTTTGTTAAACAGCTATATAAAAATAAAATAATCTCTACGTACTTGAAAATAAATTTAAAATATCTCTTGAGCCTTATTCCCCATTTGTTCTCATGTAAAGAAAAATATAAATTTATTTATTTCTTTGTTCAACTTTTATATGGAGTAAATACTCTTTATTATATATTAACCCAATTAAACATTTCATTACAAAAACCCAATCAACTATTCTTAAATGTAGAAAGTCAATTTTCATAAATACCCTAATTTGACGTTTGTTTTCTTGTCCGGTCAGTTGGGTAACGGCGGTCAAATACAGCGCGTGTTATGGGTCAATGGACATCTCGTACGGTTGTTAGATGCCAATTTAACGGAATCTTTTCTGTTATTTTGGTTGTTGTCCTCTTGTGATCCTCTTATTTTGTTGACCACTGAGTCCATCTGCTTTTGACCAATGCACGTCTACATCTTTCTGCATGAGCCAGCACCACACTCCATCTTATTGCACGTCTACTGCCTCCCCCGCACCCATCCATACAAGTACAACTTTTCCTTTCAGCCAAAAGAAGGAATCCTTTTATTTTTCTTAGATGTCGAATCTGATTATTTTTTTAAAAAAAAAATTATTATACTTAAAAATCTTTTTAGTCTTTGTAACAATTTAAAAAGTACGTAACTACTAAATTATTATTTTTTTTACTTTATTTTTTAATATTTAAATTAGTTTTTCTATTAATATTTATTCTTTTTTTTTTTTTAAGAAATATTTATATTAGTTCCTATATATTATAACATTGTTAGTAGATTTATTGTGTGACAATAAATTGGATAAATGACTGTTTTTAGTTAAATATATTTTAATATTTAAAGTCATTTGATGTTTTGTGTAAAAAATAATTTAATTTTTTAATTATTATTTAATAAAAAAATTAAAAACAGCTAACAAACTAAAAAAAAAAAAAAATTTACTCACATCATCTATTGCTTCATGGTCCAAGATGTCACTAATGGAGCTTGTTGCACAATCAACTTTCCGTGTCACCCATTGGTGGTTCATTGTTTCCTAGACAAAAGTCTCCCCCTTCTGTAATCATTTGTCGTTAAAAAAAAAAAGTTCAATTTCAACAAAACCTTTGTCATCTTCTAGGTTTGGTTCAAGGACGATCAACAACAAAGTGTGACAACATGTTGAGTTGAGTTTGAAATAGAATTATAAGCTTGTAATTAGCACAAGAAGCTCGAGAAGAAGCAATAGCAAGAACCATGTTCTTGCAAATCTTAACAAGAAACAAAACACCACCAACTTTAGGTTCAAAACATGAGATTTCCAAAATAGAGAAGGAAAAAAATAAAGGCATTAATGAGGTCAAATAGAAAAAGAAGCTTGGTGAATTTTTTGGGAGGATAAAGAAGAATTCGTCGACACATCAGACAAGAAAAAAGAAAAAATTAAAAATTAAAATATTTTTTAATGTTTTATATTGAAAATTAAAAATTAAAAACTAAAATATTTTTTATGTGTCAAAGTAAGATATAAAAATTTACTAAATTGAAAACAGTAATGTGTCCAACTTATTGGCACTTTGAAAATTCACTAATATTATTAGTGATATTTAACAAATAGTTTTTTTTAAAAAGTAGAAAGATTAAAAGAGTAAAAAATTAGTTTATGAACAATCCAAATACTTAAAAATATTATATGA